TTGAGGTTCTGTGGTTTCCCTCCTCCCTCCTGCATCCTCAGCTCGTGCCTTTAGTGTGAATAAAATGGGCAGAGGTGACCACGGGGCAGTGGTGTCTTGAGGCTGAACTTCAGTGGAACGAGGACTGGACACAGTGTTTTTCACTGAGTCCAGAGAGGCTGGTCCAGGGTGCCCAGTGGGATGGCAGAGGTGGCAAGAGGGTTCCTCCATGTGTGACGCTTTGTTGGCCTTCCAGGTGCTGTGGCCTGATGACCAGGCCTCCAGTGACGCCTTCTGGGGAGCCAGGATGCTCCTTGAGCTTTCAAGGGGCAGCCTGGGCTGAGCTGCCCCTTGGGAGCCTGGCCGGTGTTCCAGGGGGAGCATGTGTGGACATCTGGCAACACAAGTTTCAGAGCCTTGTTCCCACTGGAGGGAGGTCCCCAGAGTCCCCTGGGGTCCTGCTGAGAAGCACCGAGGGCAGCTGAGCCCCCTGCCGTGTTGGAAGAATTTGGTTGGCAACTCCTTATACTGGAGGCAGCAGCTGAGGTCAGAAGTCAGTCAAGGTGGGTCTGTTCTCAGGCAGCAGCTGGCTGCAGCTAGGCTCCTGGGCATGGCTGGGCAGTGAAGCCCTTCTCCAGAGAGGGAGGTGGCACTGCTGGCCACTCTCCTGCCTGTCCTGTCCTGTGACAAGGCCCCCCTGACTTGGTGAGTGCGATGTGGGCTGCATTGGACATGGCTGTGTCCGGGGCTTCCTTGGAGGCACGAGTGCTTGGGGAGAGCCAGCCCGGGTGGGACGGGCGCCTTCCCCTCAGCCTGGGATTCATTGTGTTTGCTGAACTGACATTCTGTTCAATTAAATGAAAGTTTGATGTTCTGAACTCCCCCATTCTCTTTCACTCAAGTGCATCCTGGACATCCGGCCCTCTCATGCCTGGCCGGCCTTTCACAGGCAAGTGCTCAGTCGATGCATTGGTCCCAGACAGATGGGTGTTCAGATCATTTCCAGCATCTCTGTTTTACAAGCAGCGTCCAGTGGGCATCTCTGCAGGCCACCCTTTACCTGGTTTCTCCTGGGAACAAGAAATCGCCCCGGAGGAGGAAGCAGCGGGGCCAAGCGCACAGACCCAGGTGCCGCTGACCCTCTCTGCCTGGTGACTTTGACGCCCAGGACAGCCACCTCCAGGAAAGGGCCCCTGGCCTGGCCTCCCTCTTGTTGGGGGCCACAGATGAGATACAGCAGGGAGCAAAGCCACATCTGTGCCCTCAGGGCTCACAGGACGGGGCAGGGAAGCTGGGGAGTAAGGGGCACTTGCAATTGTTGGGGGGTGGGGTGAGGTGTGGAGCCTCTGAGAAACCTGGATGCCTGGAAGACACAGGAGCTTCCCAGGGAGGGGGTGTCTCAGCTGAGACCACCTGTGCTCAGTCTCCTGCCCAAGGGCCCTCGGCTGCACCCTTCCCGTTGTTGCAGAAAAATGTGTTACAGCTCGGTGTTACAGCTCAGTTGTGACAGGAACCTGGATCCGGGTGAGAAACCAAGCAGCACTCAGAGAGTTGGAAAATTCAGGTTCATTACACCAGCCGGCCCAGAGGAGTTAACACTCCAAGCTCTGAACCCCGTGTGTAGGTTTACACAGGCT